ATATATATACAGTATATATATATATATATATACATAGTGCAAAATCTCCAGTTTTGTTTTTCCTTTTAACATTGGCTGCTTTTTCTTTTATTTTCCGTCTAGTTATTTTCAGGTACTGGACTATTTACAGAGAAATGCTTGTTGGTTGAGCTTATTTGACAATTAAAAAAATCTTAGAAATACATTTAGGAAGAAACTAGACGTGTTTGCATATGCATATATTAGATATAAACTTTATTTATACAAATTAAAGTAATTGTGTCACAGATAAGCAGAAAAATACTTCAGTGTGTGATGCGAGCATGCTGCCTTTTTTATAAGGGGCTATTTTGCTTACGGATTTTTAAACCAAAACAAACCTATGAAGAACCAATGTACTAATTCTTTTGCTTGCATCATTATTTAGTATTTTAATGAAAACAATATTCTAACTGCTGCACTATAATCAAAAGATTATCTACAACAGTAAGGTATTATTTGTTCATAACCTCTCCACAGAGCCCCACAAAAAGACTTTTGTCTTAAATCTTACATTTGCAATACAAGCCTCACAGTGGGGGTATTTGACTGTTCATTACATGATAGATTAAATAAGTCCTGAGTGGTTGTCTGACCAGTTGACTGATTTATTAACACCTCTAAATGCAGTCGGTTGAATGAAACGAGGCCATTTTCCTACCTTCAAGTTACTGGCAGGTTTACTATTAACCACTTGAGGATCCAGCTTGGCTGGATGATTGATCTCCTCTCCCTCTGTGTTCTGCATCATCAACACAAGTTTGGACCCATCTGCAGTAACCATGAGCCTTTTTTGACTGCTGCTCACCTCAAATGAAATCAACGGGCTGCACAGCAACAAAGCAGAACCGCTGGCAATATGAGGAGGCAGGGTTTTAAAACGAGCCTGATGAAATTCTATTAATAAGCACTGAGGACAACTTACAGTGAAACACGAAGAAAATCCTGCAAGACTGATTGCAACTGTGGCGCAAGCATCTAACATTAATTATAATGCTGGGT